CAGTTCAGCAGCATCCCTACACCAAACTTTCCAGGTTTATTCCTTTGCATATTCTGAAGGTTTATCCACAGGAGCTTGTCCTCATTTATATATCCTGACATTTTATTCCTTCAAACGTGGTGAAAACTGATTACTTTCTAGTTATGAAACTATACAAAGAAATACACAAAAAATCCTCGTAGAAAACTATGTGTACCAACCATAACTCAGGATACATACAGACTGCAGGCCTGCCATCCAGTGGAGGGACTGCACTTCACCATTTGTAGACAAAACAATACAAATACAAATGTCGCTGTTGAACCATTTTATTCAGACTTCTTTTATTAAATGTAGTGATGATATCATTCGTGCATCAGGAGCTCCGTACAGGTACAAGCCGACTGTCGCAGAGCAATCACTGTATGCATGTAATTAAAACAAGAACAAACGATCATCTTTTTAATGCTGCTTTATTGTTTTCAGCTTCAAACATTTCAAAAGTTTCCAGCTTGTTGTCAGTCGGTGGTGAGTGAACCAAACGGCAGCAGGTCCTCTGCTCTGCTTCAGTAGCACACATTCTGTTTAAAATACATGAAACGAACATTTTAATGGCACTGTGCTGAGTAAAATACCTGTTATACACAATTACAATACAAGCAATTCAAGAATTATGGAATTATCTAATAAATCCAAGAATAACACTTACCCGATTAATGTCATGTTCGTGACAACCTAAAAACGACCCAACAGAAACAGCACAGCAGTGAATGTATCAGCAGGTAGTTTGTTTAACCAGTAAAGTTTTATTTCTATAAGATTATACCAACAGAAGAAAATAGACCAGATTCATATTTTTCTGTGTCTACAAATTCCATGGTAACATAACTTAGAGTGAATCAGACAAGTTAGAATATAAGGCGCTCTCTATTATACTTACAGCGTGTATTAGTTAGTCTTTGATTTTTGCATTCAAACATGGAGTAGTAGCTTCGCGACCAACAAGGGAAATTCTTCTTCTGTCCTTCCTTTAAATATTCATCTACAAAGTCCTCAATACGTCGCTGATCATAGGCACCAGCGTGCTTAACAGCACAGTAGAACTCTGCAAAACATGAAGACAATATCAAGATTCTGTTGAAGTCACGTTTGTTGTTTTAACCATCGCCTGTTCTTGGTAAAATGTTAACCAGCTTCAAGAACTCGTCACCTGAACTAGATTTGGTTCTCAGTCAACATATTTGTCTGGTTAAAGTTAAATGTTGGAGTTCCTTGCCTTCATAATGGGTTTGAGATCAAACCGACCTATTCGCTTATTGTTGTCATCCACGTTATGACAGCTGGAGAAACTGCAGTCCATCATTACGTTGAGACATGGAGGTCAGTCGGTGCAGAAAAAGTTTAAAGAACTTGGAAAGCTTCTTCACGTGAAGTCGTAGAAACCGTCGAATAAATGAAATAAACAACAAAATGGAGACGCTCAATCACAGACATAAAGGAAGAAAGACCTCAAGTGTTCAGAAGAGAATGCATGGATCAGAACTTTGTGGACAAACTGCTGCAAAGAAACCACCTAGAGACCAGCAAGAAGAAAAGAATTGCATGGTCTCAGAAACACAAAGAATCCTGCAGCTTCCATCTGGTTCGTATGACCAGCTTCAGCTTCAAGTTGACCTCGGAAGACAGCTCGAGTTCCCTGCCAACATCGGAGTCCACTAAACAAGTGGTTATCATGGAACTGACTGTCTCCTGGGAAGACCGGATTGAAGACAACCATGAATGAAAGAGGTCCAAAGCTCAGCACAGAATGCCAGAGCGACAGCTGGAAAACCCGCTGTGAGCCAGTCCAGGTCGGGTACTGAGGCTTCACCGGCCATTCCCTTCTGCAAACTCTCAAACTCCTTGGAGTGAAAGGATTGCAATTGAAGAGAGCCACCAGAAACACCCAAGAGGCCGCAGACAGGGCCTCATGGTGGCTGTGGATCCATGGGGGGGCAAAACACACCTCTGCTCTGTCAAGGCTCTTTGACCAAGTGGGATGAGTTGGAAAAGCTGCCAGCGAGTGCTTGGTATGTGTGGGAACTTGATAAAGACTTCTACAAAAGCTCCAGGTGACTCTGATGTTATCATGGCAAAGGTATTTCTGAAGCACGGAGGTGGCATCATGATGTGAGGATGCTTCTCAGCAGCAGGCCCTGGAAGGCTTGGAAAGGTAGAAGGTAAAATCAATGCAGCAAAGTTCAGGGAAATCCTGGAGGACATTTTATTGTTATTTTTACTGCAGCACATCTCAGTCCACTGTCCACTTACCGCACAATGGGATTCCAGTCCAGTTTCCAGAGGAGCAAAGGGCAGATGTTTGGATGGTTGTCCCGTCAGTTGTATATCCACTTTCACATTCATACACCACTTTGGAATCTGCACCATACAACTCCCGGTATCCCTGTTCAATGATGACTCCATGGGGGATCTGAGGAGGCTCATCACATGCATTGGGACTTTCTGTAAAAAAGAGAGAGATAAAAAGTAAAGACAGCTACACGAGTAGTTCCTGGAAATTCAAACCTGCAGATCTAAAAGACTTACTTTCACAGACAGGCAAAGAGGACCATGTTCCATTTATGCATCTGCTTCTGTCAGACCCGCCTGTGAGTTCATACCCGTCATGGCATTTTACCGTAACGGTGCGGCGGTCTAGAAACCAACCATTTGAGTTTTTTATGTACTCTCCATTGGGGACAGTTGGTGGAAGGCAGGCTGTTTCATCTGAGAGAAACAACAACAGAAGAATGCGTTCTGTTGTTAGCAACCGTTACCCAGCCCTACTTCACCTTACTAATACATTACAAGTACTGCATCACTGCATTTACATTTTTAGCAAAAGTTGTGTCTGATGTTAAATTGATATCCGGTGCCAGCTGGGACTGATCATTAACACTTCAGTGGAAGTTAGCAAAAGTTTTGGATGTGTTGATTAACAGAAGAAGGTTTGAGGTTTGTACCTGTTGGACTAAATATGTTTTTTGTTTAAAGACATAGTTCAGAGAGACAGTAGTGTTTTTTGGAATTTTAATGCTTTCACCATTTCCCCAGAGTCAGAAACTAATAAAAGCCTTA